TGCTTAAACATCTCTGAAATGCATCCTCTCCTCTCTCATCCTACCATAATTGTCCTGTTTTCATGCCCTCATCACTTCTCCTTCGATTATTCCAATAGTTTCTTAATGATCTCCTTGTCACTATAAATTAGTTTTCATTCTGCTGCCAGGGCAATTTTTTTAAAGCAAATTTTATCATGTCTCTTCCTATTTGCAATTCTTCAAACTTAGGCTGTGCCTTCAGGATAATCAACATTGGATGTCTGGGCTCTGCGCTTCTTATACTAGCCCAGCTTAGCTTTCCTTACAATTCCCCCATGCATGCAGACCCCATTTGTCTATTTGATCACTGAGATCTTAGATCTTTAAACCACATTAACTTGCCATGAAGTCCACAGCTGTTTGCCTAAAAGCCCCAGCAGGTTCTGAGTTACCTCTTCTCTCTTACACTAGCTCTTTGCAGGCTTCATTGCTGCACTTAACTTGGCTCTCAGCTCCCTTAGCTTCACCCTTCTTTCTAGCATTTGGCTTCCCATTGTGATTAGAGTCACTCCCTGGAGGCTGGCCTTTGCTGGGAGTTAGCTACTCTCCCAGCAAAACCAATCCCAGGCAGGATCCTCTCAAGAGATTTGGAAATAATAGAGACAAAGAGACAAAGTATAGTTTAAAGTGATGGGGGAGTCAGGGGTTCTCCAGCATTCCTGTGAGCTGTGAGGCCCTGAATGAAATCTCATGTCAGAATCTATTGTTACAGCAAATAGTTGTCCTTGGTTAAAGAAATAAGTTAAGAAGAATTACAGCTCATTCATTGAGGTTTTCAGGGGACCCTTACCTAATTCTGTCTATAAGAATAGATGGTTACAAAATTTATTTAAGATAAACATGTTAAGCCCTAAGTTAGAAACAGACCTAGCTGAGCATACAAATTAAAGACAAAAATATATAAAGTGAGAACACTGAGTCTGTGTACTAATCTAATCTACTTCTCTAAATACAGAGACATGTGGTCAGGAGTGAAGCAGGAATAGCCTTGAAGTTTAAGATAGTTCCAGTTGCATGTTATCTGCTGGGTAGGCATTTTAATCAGCTTTTCTACCAAGGACCCAAACCAAGCTTCTGCTCTGCAAAAAAGCTCAAGGTGATGGCCAGCAGCATTGAAGAAACGTTGCTTTGCAGACGTCCTGACAATGCCTCCCTTGTTTGGGAGCAGCTTCTAGTCTGTGAACTAACATGTCCACATATTCCTTCAAGGCAAAGCCCTGCAAAACTCCTGAAACCTAGGCCGGGCGCTGTGGCTCACGCCTGTAATCCTAGCTCTTGGGAGGCCGAGGCGGGCGGATTGCTCAAGGTCAGGAGTTCAAAACCAGCCTGAGCAAGAGCGAGACCCCGTCTCTACTATAAATAGAAAGAAATTAATTGGCCAACTGATATATATATATAAAAAATTAGCCGGGCATGGTGGCGCATGCCTGTAGTCCCAGCTACTCGGGAGGCTGAGGCAGAAGGATCACTCAAGCCCAGGAGATTGAGGTTGCTGTGAGCTAGGCTGACGCCACGGCACTCACTCTAGCCTGGACAACAAAGTGAGACTCTGTCTCAAAAAAAAAAAAAAAAAAAAAAAAAAAAAAAAAAACTCCTGAAACCTTTCACGTCTCTTAGCCTATTTTCCCAACAGGCCTTGTCCTTGGATACTGCCTGTTGCAGGTCAGTTTTCCAAAGAGCACAGCTTTCCAGAGCATAACTCTGGCAGGAGTTGTCCTGCCAGACTTGGAAGGTACTGAACATTTCTGCTGGAAATAACCTTCTTGCATTCTAGTCCTAGCAATGCCATTAAGTGGTTGCACAATCTTGGGCAAATCACCTGCCCTCTGTTTCTTAATCCTAAACATAACAGTAATAAAAACAACTAATAATTCCCAAGTATTTACCAGGACAAAGTTCTAAACACCTTATATGGATTGTCTTATTAAAATCTCACAACCAGCTTATGACATATCACTATACTCCCATTTTACAGGCAAGAAACTGAGGATTAGAGTGGCTAAGCAACTTGTCCAAGGTCACACAGCTATGAAGTGGGGGAATGGTATTCAAACCCCAGCAATTCTGTTAACCACTGTCCTGCCCTCCCTCTCAATATACAGCTCACTCTGGAGCCATCCAATCACATCTGTAAAAGGAGAAGAGAGATCTAATTTCTTCCAAATGTAACATTCTATCATTGGATCTAATGAATTATGGGTGGAATGAATGTATTTTGAAGAGGAGTCAAGAGACAAAAAAAAGTTAAACACAAAAAGGGCTAAAGCTCAAACCACAGAATCCCACGAATTGTATGACCACATACCACTAGATAGTTGTTTTTTCTGAGAAAACCCAGCTATTGTTTTCTTTTATTTTTACTTAAATATATAGTTTTATTTTCTGCCTGCAGATGTGATTCAAGTTCAAAAGAACACAGTAGAAATAAAAACCACCTATATTTCTGATTAACATTGTATATCATGTATAAAAGTGGTAGCATTGTTCATTCTGCTTTTTTTCCCCTTAAGCTAAACACATTATGAGTTATTCTAAGATAGAATTGTCAATGATTGCATGGTATTCCCTTAGGGATGTTCCATAATTAACCAGACATTTGTTTCTAAGATGTTTCCCATTAGAAACAATGGCAAGAAAATATCCAAGTCACTAAAACTGTATGCATGTATATGATTATATACTTAGAATAAATTCCTAAATAGTAAACTGCTTCGTTAAAGAGTGTATGTAGGCCAGGTGTGGTGGCTCATGTCTGTAATCCTAGCACTCTGGGAGGCTGAGGCGGGCGGATTGCTCAAGGTCAGGAGTTTGAAAACAGCCTGAGCAAAAGTGAGACCCCATCTCTACTAAAAATAGAAAGAAATTAATTGGCCAACCAAAAATATATAGAAAAAATTAGCCGGGCATGGTGGCACATGCCTGTAGTCCCAGCTACTCAAGAGGCTGAGGCAGAAGGATCACTTGAGCCCAGGAGTTTGAGGTTGCTGTAGGCTAGGCACTCTAGCCCAGGCAACACAGTGAGACTCTGTCTCCAAAAAAAAAAAAAAAAAGCATATGTATTTTAAACTTTTGATATGTATCACCAGATTATTCTCCAGAAAGATGTTATCACCATCAGTGGGCAACAGGGTATTAATATTTCTCCCTCCCTAGCCACATGGGGGATTCTTGCTTGCTTGCTTTTTAAAAAATTTAATATTTGCCACTTTGATAGAGAAAAATTAATGCTTCACTATTTTAATTTGCATTGATTTTATTTCTTGCTGTTTATTGGCTATTTCTTGATTCATGATCAATTTTCAGGTACTGTGAAACAAAGAGAGAATCTTAACAAGAACAACATAGACAGCATTCTGTGGTTTTATAGACCTCTACAGGTAGTGCTAGCATAATTAAGTAGTATATCTACTCTATGGTTCCACAAAAATTACAAACTCTGAAATTCCTTTTTCCTATACATGTATAATATTTCAAAATTCCATTGGAGGGAAAAGGAATCTTTACTTGGAAATTAAATTGTGATCTTCTGAAATAAAAGCTTCAAAGCTATTTCTCAAACCAGCAGACACTAGGTACATGAAAGTTACTTAGATTTTCAAAGAATAGTAATAACAATGCATAGTGACTGGCCCCAGCCCTTCCAAGAGAAGGGCAAGTGTGACTCCTTCTAGGAAGTCCCTGTCATGGGGACCAGCCACTACATGGAGAAATTTGTGGTGCACAGCAAAGTGGGCAATACAGATTTTAGCTCTACCCTTTCTGAGCAGCATGACCTTGGGCAAGTTATTTAGCCTGTGTAAGCCACAGTTACCTCTTCTGTAAAACAGAATGATGATATCTGTCTAAAGTCATGGTAAAAAATAAAATTCAACGAAATAACAGTAGTAAAGTACGCAGCACATCATGCATGTTCAATACACAGTAGCTAACTGATTTGCTCTCCTTCTTTCTACTACTCCACCCTGCCCAGAATCTCCCAGGGCTTGTTTCTAATTCATTATCTGAGTTGTGCATTTTCTCTTTACACCTCTTTTCCCCTTTTCTTTTCCTTGGCCTTTCTCTGACTACTTTCTCTATCTCATTCCCTCACTTTTAGGCCAAACTCACCCTAATATATAAAACATTTACTTTCTGTCATTTGTCATACTTATATGAACTCTTAAGAATTTCCTGATTCTTAACTGAAAATCAAGGACTATAACGTTCAACAGTTGAAAAACAGAAACAAATTCATAAAACCAAAATTAGTCACTTAAAGAAAATACAACCGTTCTTGTGATACCTCACTTTGGAGGATGGGCTCAAGCTCTATCCAGGAAAATATAAGAGGTGCTGGTTCACCGTCGCTTTTTATAATAGGCACCACATGTACCCACCATCAAACAGGCACTGACTGATCAACACTAAGGTGCTCACACGGTAGTAATGTTCTTTGGGGGTTGGGGTGTTGGGGGTGGGTAAACTCACAACTAATGGACACGGTGAGTGTTGGGGGGGAAGGGCTTATCTCAAATCATGGTTGGGATGTAGCAAAGTCATAACATGTAACCAAAATGTTTGTACCCCCATAATTTCCTGAAATAAGAAAAAAGAAAAGAAAAAAACAATGGTGATGGAAAAAAAACATACAACCATCACCAATGAACTGCTTTTTGGCACCTCAAATAATTTTCACCTTCATGTGGCAAAGACGCTCTATAGAAAAAAAACGTTTCCCCACTCAGAGCTAAGCAACCTAGAGTGGATTCTCTAAGAAGGGAGAATGGCTTCTAGGCCTTTGGCTACCCTCTCCCTCCCAAGGCTATAGACTCCTCTCTCTCCCAAAGCTGTCCACTTTTGGCCTCTGAATAGATGTGCCCTTAGCACATAGCAGCGTTCTCACACGGGAAGGACACACATCAGGGCACCATCCTAGATGTCAGCCTCCCACCGAGGCCACAGCTCATAACTGCCTTGAAAAAGTAAGAATTCTTACTCACCATCTAGGATCCATCTTGGCTGCTTCTGCTGTGGCCTAGTGTCTGGAAACGACCCCACTTGTCTGTCTGCCTGCGCTAGTCTGCGTCACAGCGGCAGAAGAGCAACCCTTCCACGCCCGTGCAAGCCTTTCTCCGCAATGATCACGTACTCTGTTAACTTTCTTCAGTAGAAATGGTTCCTCTTTTCTCTACAGAGTTTTGCCCACACTTGAGGAAGAAATTTAACCCTTTCCTTGCGTTTTGAATTTATTGACCTAGGTCTAAATATATTTTTAAAAAATAATTCAGTGGTTTGAGTTCCAGACATGACATTAAGATGAGGCTAACTAAAAATCTCCTCTGTAGGGTTTTTGAAAATCCCTCAAAAAACCTAGAAAATAAAATAATTAAAAAGAGAAAAAAAATCTCTGTATTTACAAAATAGAATAAAAAGACATTTTACAGATTTTGGTAAGACAACAAAAAGTGATCTATTATGGGTGTGGATTGGGGGTGAGTAGCCTCCCTCTGCCATTTGCACCACCAAGATGACAGAGAATTTCACTGAGCTTGCGGGTGGGGGACATGTTCTTTTGTGAGGACTCCACAATTTAGGATGGCAAATACAAACTACTGCTTTTATCACTTCATTCCTGCTATAGCCAAAGATTAAATCAGTGAAAGAGAATATTCTGAAATAGAAGTCTTTCAAAAAAACAGCATTTTAAAATTAATAGCTGTGTCTGAGAAACAAACATAGGCTCCATCAAGCAGAAACTATACTAGAAGAAATTTCCTCGTGTGAACTAAAAAGGGGACCATTTAGAGACTCATGTCAAACCAAATTTGTGAAAATGGATTCTAATCCAGACAAATCATTGTGAACATTTTAAATTCCAAAGACAAAGAAAGCTAAAAACAAACAAAAAAGGTGGGATGAGTGCAGAGAAACACAAACCAGCTTGGTCTGTAACTCAAGCTTAAATGACAGAAAACATGAGAACAATATCTGTGGAGTTTTGAGTTAGCATTCTCTACCTAGAGAAGATGCCAGTTAAATGTGACGTCGATTGAAATATATCACCAAGCAGACAAGAAAACAACAGCAACAAAAATACCACTACAAAGATACCCTTCCTAAATAAATTACTTAAAGATGTGTTCAAGAATAATAAATGAATTAAAATTGGAAAGCCTAAGAATGGAGTAGAATGGAGAAGCCATGGCTAAAAAACACCAATGGTGAGTGCTGAGCTATAAAGCAAGTTAAACTTGTAGAAATAAGACTAAATAATTGTAAATTGTTTTAGACCTGCATATAGATTTAAAAAATTATTAGAAGTAGATTACATATATTATTTTAAGGAAGTATAAAAATAACAGATGATGTCACTGCTAATGGGAGGAAGGAAGCAAACTCAACAAATTGTTACTCTTCAAATAAAAAGACAATACAATTATTATTTTGTCAACTTTGATCATTTCACCTAGTTTTGAGAATTTTTAACAAAAATGAAGGTGGCCTTCGGGGCAATGTGAACCATGGGGCATTCCTGATCCATTGTAACTCTAATCTCATTAAATACACATAGTATAAACCCTCTATCCTCTGTAATAAGGAAATGTCTGAAAAAATAAGTAACAGTATTAGAAATTCCTCTAATTTGTGATGCTATTAATTTAATGCATTCAGCAGAGAGAACAATCAATAAATTGGAGTGTACTAAAGTAGCAACGTGTAAATAGAGCAGATCCTATATTTGAGATCTGCTAGCAAAGTGTAGAGTTCTATATGAATGTCTCTGAACCAAATTCTTCTGTGGAATATTCCTTTTGTGGGTGGTTTCTGTGTCACATTTAAAAATACCAAGGCTTGGGGACTACATATGTCAGCTTCATATCTGTATTGATTTTTTATTCTTTCTGAATTGAATGTGAATATAAATAAAATCTTGACCTTCATATTAAAAAATGAAGATAAAAATAATAAAGTTAAAAATAGATCATTCATCTTCCAAATTATTGCAGAGCGGGAGTGCAAATAAAATAGTATTTAAAATAAATAACACATTAGAAAGAAAGTGAGATAAAAAACAAAAATAAATCCATGTAAACCCACTTGTTATAAATATTAAAGGTATGGAATGTCATCTTTTAGTTTCCTGGTGTCAGTGTATATACTCTAATTTTTAATTAAGATAGCATAATCACTTTCTCATGTTATTATAAACTTTTTAGTAGTAATTAAGTAGCACATTAATAATACATCAAGTAGATACATTGTATTATAATTATCTCCCTAATATCAGATAATATTTAGTTTTTGGTATTTTTATATTACCATGTTGTAATTAATATATTTGCAACAAACGTTTTTAGTATTCATCATTTATCCATTGCTGCATAACAAATTATACCAAAATTTAGTTGTTCAAAACAACAAATATTTAGACATTATCTAGAATATGTAAAGAACTCCTACAACTCAACAACAACCAATTAAAAAATGGGCAAAAGACTTAAATACACATTTGGTTAAAGAAGATATACAAATGTCAATAAGCACATGAAAAGACGCTCAAAACCACTAGTCATTAGGGAAATGCAAATCAAAACCACAATGAACGTCAGCAACATGGCAGAATAGGAAACTACCCTCTTCCCTCCCACAGAAATACTGATTCAACAAAAACTCACAAACGAATTCTCTTTGAGAAAAATCCAGAAGCCAATTAAGAGACTTCATCATACTAGGTGAGCACAAAACTAAAGCACCAAAGCCAGCAGGAAAATTTGTGGCACCTTCTCACCATAATCCCTCCCCTTGCCACAGTGCCACATGATCAGGAGGAAATCCCCAGTTCCTGGTTTCTCCCTGAAAAAGGAAAAGGAAGACTGGACTACACATCCAAAGTTCTGACTTTTAGGGGCTGGCTTCTGTCTTGCCCATCTCATAGAGCTGATAGAAACCCAGCTCTAGATGCTATAGGGACACTGAGAACAAAAGGATCTCAGTGGTGTGCTGCTGTTCTAGAGGGCCCTTGGTACAGCAGACACAGGCTGATACAGCTTGGTGGCCTTGCCCTCAGGGGGATGGAGAAGATTGGAGTATGCATTTAACATTCCATGGTTTAGGAAGATGAGGAGATGACTAAGGGATAGGTTCCTTTCTTGCTTTTTTGGAGCACTGGCATACTTTAGATGCCTCAGGTCCCCTGAAAAGATGAAAAGAAATGGAGATCATAATGCCACTCCACGTGACCCATGATACTGCAGAGGCCAACAAAGCTCAGTGTCCTCTACTTTAGAGTGGATAAAAGTGGAGCATGTGTCCAACATTCTGGCTTTTCAAAGGCCTGCCTAAGGGATTGGTTTCTGTGTAGCCCAACTTGGGACATGGACAAGACCTGACATACTTTAGGAGACTGAGGGCTGCCACGGACAAAAGAGAGCAGGATGGTGTGCTGCTACTTCAGTGGACACATGGTATAGAAGATAGACATCAGAGGGGAAAAGAGGTTATGAGCTCCTGAAAAAAATAAACCAGAAAATCCTTCCAATTAAGAATCTACATACACAAGTGCAGAAAAAAACACAGTCACAGAAAATGTTTGAGAGGCCCCTAGAATCTTTAGCTAGGCTGATAGCTAAAGGTCTTTCCCAGTACAAAGTCAGTTGATACAGTCTGGAAGAAGTGGCTATGTTTTCAAATGTGCAGACATCAACACAAAGTTATAAGGAGCATGAAGAAACCAGAAAATGGTTTCATCAAAGAAACAAAATAAATCTACAGAAACAGACCCTAAAGAAATACAGAGGTATATGCATTATCTGACAAAAAACTCTAACTACCCATCATAATGATGCTCAATTAGTTCAGGAAAGTGGTACGTGAACAAAATTAGAATGTCAACAAAGATAGAAAACATTAAAAAGAATCAAACAGAAATTTGAGAGCTGAAGAATGGAATAACTGAACTAAAAAAATTCACTAGAAGTAGTTCAACAGTAGACTTGATCAAGCTGAAGAAATAATCAGCAACTCGATGACAGGTTGCTTGAAATTATCAAGTCAGAGGAGCAAAATGGAAAAAAAAAAAACCATAATGAGATGAGTGAAGAAAGCCTAAAGGACAAATGGAACACCATCTAATAGACTAATATACATATTATGGCAGGTCAAAAAGAAAAGGGGGACAGAACGCTTGTTTAAAGAAATAATGGATTAAAAACTTCCCAAATCTGGGGAAGAAAATGGACATTCAAGGCCAAATCAACCCAAATAAGATGAACTCAAAGAAATCAATACCAAGACACATTATGATCAAATTGTCAAAAGTCAAAAATAGAATTTTGAAAGCAACAAGAGAAAAACAGCTCATTGTATATAAAAAAGCCCCACCCTTAATAAGATTATTAATACATCATTGATTTTAATTATTAATTTTATTAATTATAATTTTTAATTATTAATTTTTGATTATTAATAAATTAATAAGATTATTAATACATTTCTCAGCAGAAATCTTGTAGGTTAGAAAGAAGTGGCATGATATATTCAAAGTGCTGAAAAAAAAAAAGCTGCCAACCAAGGCCAAGAATATACTCTCTGGAAAAAAATGTCATTCAGAAATGATGGAGAGACAAAGACTTTCCCAAATAAACAAGAACTGAGGGAGATCATCACCACTAGACCTGCCTTACAAGAAACGTGAAAGGAACTTCTTCAAGTTAAAATGAAAAGATGCTTAATAGCAACACAAAAGTATATGAAAGTATAAATCTCACTGTTAAAGGTAAATATATGGACAAATACAGAATACTGTAATATTGTAATGATATTATGTAAATCACTTAATTCTGGTATAGAAGTTAAAATATGAATGTATAAAGAACAACTACAACTATGAAAATGTATTAATAGTTACACAATATTTAAAAATGTAAAATGACTTATTTTTCTAGGTCTGCAAAAAATGATGTTGGTATTTTAATAGGGATTGCACTGAATCTGTAGATCACTTTGGGTATTATAGACATTTTAACAATGTTGATTCTGACAACCCATGAGCATAATATGGTTTTCTACCTGTTTATGTCCTCTGCTATTTCCTTCCTCAGTGTTTCATAGTTTTTCCTGTAAAGGTCTTTTACCTCCTTA